GTTGGGCAAACCTCCAAGGGCAAACCCGTTCTCCCCATAAAAACTGCAGCTGTCAACACTACTGAAAGAAATCTTTGTGTTTTAGGATGATTGTGTAAAATCCAGAGTCCAACAACAACTCTGTCTGAGGCTCTAAGAGCTCTAGGCCTTCAGGAGGCACAGAGCAGTACTGAAGGTGTAGGGCAGTGGTTAACACACCAGGCTTGCTGTCCTTACAGCAGATAGTCGTGGGAGAGAGAGTTTGGTTAGGATTTTCAAGACAAAAAGGGAAGTATATGTTCTCATTGCTCTTTGAAAGGCAAAGACTCAGAGCCTAGCTTCACAAATGTCAGCTATTTTTGTTAATTGTCTTGTTTTCCACTAACAAGGTGTGATAATGATGACTTTTCAGATTAAATCGAGATCACAAAACCATTTGTGAAATGGACTGGTCAGACAAAGTAGAAACGTACAACATTGATGATAAATGTGGGAGGTACAGTAACCAGAGCACCAACATCCAGTTCCATCCTAACTCAGTGAAGTTCCAAGAGAGGTGAGTAGCCACTGTCCTTATCCTCCACAAATAACCCTGGTAAGGTACGAGACATCCTTAGTGCCAGTAAATGCTGTAATGCTGCTCTGAATGAAAGGTGTGATTGCTGCTTCTTTGGACATTCAATGCCATAGCTTTAAAATAGCCACATGGATATTAAGGGTAGTGCTACCATCTCAGCATGGCACACCACGGGTGGCAAAGTTGCTTCACTGTATGCAGACTGAGCTTGTAGAAGTTCTTCTTGGAACTAATTTGCTTTATACGTCTAAAGGATCACTATTAAAATAAATCCTGCTGCTTCTTTCTCCTCTTTCAGGCAGTGTTCATATGATGCAGTGTCCCAAGAGCATTGTAGTACCTTCTGCTGCTCTGCATGGCAAAGGATGACCAGAGATCTTGGTTCTTTTTCTTTCAAAGCAGACACAGATTGTAAAGCTTGAATATATTCGTGTGTTTATTTGCTGGTGACTTAGCTGCTTGTGCTTGCATAAAAAAAGCATGCGTGTATTTTTCTGCCTTAGTATTAGCTAAAGATGGAAGAACTTTGGATGAATTTGTCTTGTGTGTTACTTCCTTCAGAAGCCACAAGATGAATGAGAGTTTATTATTATTATTATAAAGGATTAGTCTTCTTCCTAAGTCTAGACTGCATGCAACAGCAAAAACAGAGGTTGACAACACTTTTGCAGGGAGAGAACCAGCATCAGATTGTCTTCTTAAGTGCAACTTGAATATAAGAGCAAGGTTCCTATTTTATACCACTGACCTCTTCTTCCAGTGCCTCAACGCCGGAGACGTGGGCCAAGTTCAGTCATGACAACATCTTCAGGGCAGAGCGAGAAAGGCTGGCATCCGTCAGTCTTCGTAACTTGATTGCCTGCGTTCTGGATGATGTATCTTGGGACCTGAGGATGCAGTGCGCTGCCGTCAATGAGGCGTTTGCCAAACGCTGCAAGGAGCTGTATGATACAAAACGAAAGCTTGAGTTTCATTTGCAAAAGGTAAATGTTGTTGTCTGAACGCTGGATACAGGCACTGTATTTGCTTTTGAGATCACAGTAGATTTATCCTCTAGAAAAAAAACACCTTTCTGCTTCTTTATGGACCAAAAATCAGATTCTCAGTGTAGCAGTAGAAATAAAGAGGTGAAAACTACCTTTGTACTTCAATTTTTCCTATATTCTGGCCAAATAGGAGGTCAAAAATATAACTGATACACTAGGATCATGAGCAGTTGTACAGCATGCACAGAGACAATGTGTATCTTTTCTGAAAGAGTTCTTTTTCTTGGGTGTCCTCTTTAGGTGCTGAAGCAGATCGCAGCTGAAGAAGCTAACATTGCTGCTCTCAAACAAGCCATCAAAGACAAAGAGGCCTCAGCGAAAGTTGCTCAAACACGGCTGTACGACCGCTCCTTCAGGCCCAACGTGGAGTTCTGCAGAGATGCAGCACAACTCAGGTAAACGCTATTAAACAAGTGATGTCAGGCAGTTTTTTGCACTTTTTATTGGTAACACGTAACCTTTAGCTTTTATTACTACGTTTGGATCTGATATAACTCAGAAATAATTCAGTTGACTGAATTGACTGTGAGGGAAACATCATTTTAACCTAATGTACCGACAAATCGAGCATCTATAGGCTCAACTCTCCCTTCTGTCTCTACGCTTTCTTCTCTGAACTGTGTGGTTTCTTTTTGGTTTAGATGATAAAAAAATATAATGTGGTAGCATGTGGATCGCTTGCAACCCTTCTGCTGTTAGCAGAAGTTCACCACAAGATGGACTGTGTGCTGAATGAATTCTGCTCCGAGTGCTGGGAACCCAAACGGGCTGCACGTATTCACAGTGCGAGACAAGTCCTCAGCACTGCGAAGCGTTAGGCTGGTGGCATTTGATTTTCAGCAATAATCCGTTTTAAAACTGGAGGTCAACAAATCCTTTCAAATTAAAGGTCTGAGGGCCACGTTTGGCAGTTTTGATCTCATTATGAGCTTTGTAATTGATTCTCCTCCTTCACGTTTTCCTGCCCTTAGGAAAAGTGGGAATCAGCTTTGCAGGCTTACAATTTCCTTGTAGCAAAGACACCTACCACTGAAAGCCAATCTGATCTTTCTACAGCATGAAGAAGTTACAGTTAATCCAAATGCTTTCTCAGGCACATGCATTTAAGGTCCTGATTCAGCAACCCATCCATGTGCAAGCTTTTCAGTATGTACAGTGCTTTTAATGGGAATTAAGGACACAGGCAAGTCCCTTGCTGAATGGGCATGTGTTTAATTGCCAGGCTTACTCTGTTTGTAGTTACTCAGTTTGCACAGCACACAGGGATCTTGTTTTCCCAGGAAGTAAATACGTGACTTTTCTGCAGGCAGACTGACTTGCAGCTGAAATTATGTGCTTCTTTTTAAATGGTTTGCTGCTTTTTTAAGATGCTTCATGTCTGCTCTTTAAAACACTTGTGCTTTTCAATGAAAGACTGTTTTCCAATCTCTGGTGCAAGTTTCGTCTTCAATACTTCAGCTTTATACCAGTGAAGAGATATCAAAAAACACAGAATCACAGAATCACAGAATCCCAGAACGTTAGGGATTGGAAGGGACCTCAAAGCTCATCCAGTCCAATCCCCCTGCCGGAGCAGGAACACCCAGATGAGGTTACACAGGAAGGCGTCCAGGCGGGTTTTGAATGTCTGCAGAGAAGGAGACTCCACAACCTCTCTGGGCAGCCTGGGCCAGGGCTCTGTCACCCTCACTGAGAAGAAGTTTCTTCTCAAATTGAAGTGGAACCTCCTGTGTTCCAGTTTGTGTCCGTTACCCCTTGTCCTATCATTGTTTGTCACCGAGAAGAGCCTGGCTCCATCCTCGTGACACTCACCCTTTAAATATTTATAAACATGAATGAGGTCTCCCCTCAGTCTCCTCTTCTGCAAACTAAAGAGCCCCAGCTCCCTCAGCCGCTCCTCATAAGGGAGATGCTCCACTCCCAGCAGTCTTAAAGACATTCTTGGTAATATCTAAATCATGGGAGATCTGTAGAAAAGCTGTGAAAGTGAGCTCTGATTTTGCCCAAGTCTGTAGGATCTCTCTGAGGTCCTTTTTTGTTGAGTATTATGATTCTATAGTTGATCTTGATTCCCTTTACAGTTCATCTGTCTTGCTGAACACAGACTGGCTTCTGCTCACTTCGTTATTAATGTCATTCTGTTCAGGTTGGTCAGTGAAGTTGAAGAATTGGCAGAGTCCACTGAAGCCCTGAAGAAAAAACTGATGGAGGCTGAGGATTCTCTGTGGAACCTGGAGGACACGCAGATGACTTTAGAAAAAGAAATAGCTGTGAAAACAAACAGTATTTTTATCGACAGGCAAAAGTGCATGACCCATCGCGCACGCTACCCTACTATTTTTAAATTAGCAGGTTACTAGGAGTGATATCTGTAGTAACTCTGCGAATTCTGGAAGAAAACTGTAGTCTAGAATCTTCCATATGAAATACATGAATTATACTATATACAGAAGTACTGGATTTGCTGTTATTTTCCTCTATTTGGATAAAAATGCATTATTATAGTATCACGGTGACTTTAAGAGTTCAGTCTGAGTAGAGATATTAATGGTGAGTTTAAAACACTGCTTAAAGGTAATATATCTAGAATATCTAGAATTTATCTATATCATACATGCATAATTTGCACAGTATGTGATATTTGGAGTTTTCACCCTAATATGTGACCATGTGGAGAGAATATTTATTGTGAATAATAACAATATGCGCAGATGTAGATATAACATTTATAGCTTTCTAGCATTTTCAGGCAGCCTGAAATAAAAGCAATAAACGTGCTTGTCTGACAGAAGTTCATATGATCAGCAAGGAAGCAGATGATAAGACTTTTAAGCTGCTCAAACATTATTAGTTTTAAAAAAACCTAAGTTTACACAGGTTAGACGACAATCTGACTATAGGCAAATAATGGCCAAGTCCATGACACCTGGATTTTTAACCTCCAAGTCAATAAATTTAGGGTTTTTTCAGGGAAAAAAATCCCTAAACAGCTTGTGAATAGCAATCGTGACTTTGAACTGAAGCACTTGGATGTTGAATTGAGCTCTCCAACTGTTCCCTGGAAGCAAGGCGTGTGTTTGGACTATTACCCATAATGGAGAAATTGCTCTGTTGAAGCGGTGTAACCAATGTCATTCGTCCATTAGCTTAGTAGGCCACTTGGTTAAATAGGTGACGTGTGTCAAAAAAGGGGAAAAGATGACATGGAACAGGATTTTTTGGTGGTTTCCTGTATTACGGTTTTTTACTTCTAAAAAGCAGCTGATCAAAGAGAGAGTTAAAAAACCTCAAAGAGCAAAATACACCAAAAATGCACCAAAAAAGGCCAGCATACATTTGTGAATAGCCCGGCTCTGATAACCAGGAGGAGAGGCCATTAACCTGCCTGTTTTTCTCACACACACCTATTTGTATTGCCTCAAAAGCCAATGGCATCTTGGCCTGTATTAAAAACAGTATGACCAGCACGGCCAGGGAGGTGATCATCCCCCTGTACTTGGCACTGGTGAGGCCGCACCTCGAGTGCTGTGTTCAGTTCTGGGCCCCTCACTAGAAGAAGGATGTGGAGATTCTGGAGCGTGTTCAGAGCAGAGCCACAAGGATGGGGAGGGCTCTGGAGAACAAGCCTGATGAGGAGCGGCTGAGGGAACTGGGCTTGTTTAGCCTGGAGAAGAGAAGGCTGAGGGGAGACCTCAGCACCACCTACAACTGCCTCAAGGGAGGTTGTGGAGAGGTGGGTGCTGGGCTCTTCTCCCAGGTGATGGGGGATAGAACAAGGGGAAACGGCACCAAGCTGTGCCAAGGGAGGTTCAGGTTAGAGATAAGGAGGAAGGTCTTTACTGAGAGGGTCGTCAGAAGCTGGCACAGGCTGCCCAGGGAGGTGGTGGAGTCACCATCCCTGGATGTGTTTAAAGAGCGGGTAGACGAGGTACTTAAGGATATGGTTTAGGGGGTAGACAGGAACGGTTGGACGTGATGATCTCAGAGGGCTTTTCCAACCAAGCGATTCTGTGACTCTGTGAAATCAGGATGTGCAGAGCGCTGCTCAGCAATTGCCCTCCTGCTAAAAGCTGCTGCCAGTGCTTTGAAAACCAGCAGCATCGGGTGGAATTTGGACCCAAACCTCTGCTTTACAGGTTTTGTGCTCAAGAGCTTTGTTTTGCTTTTTTCACAGATTCCATGACTATATGTTTACAGTCCAGATGTCGAATTCTGATTAGAGAGAAACGGCGCGTAGATTAAAAAAATACACGCGGCTCTACTATGCTTTAAAATAGCTCCGAAAGATTCGTTTTGTAGGCTGAAAATATTCTCCTTCATTCTGCCTCTCTTAAAATGCCTTCAGCACCTTTATCTTGGCCTCACCCACTAAAGGAGAAAAAATAAAGTGGAATCTGGGTGATGATTATGGCAAAGGGGTTGAGGAAAATGTGCAGTCCAGGACCCCAACCTGTTTTTATGGTTCAAGAGTTTTGCATTAGAGAAAAAGTGCTGTCGTCTTCTCTGAGAATGTGCTGAGCACAAATAACCTCATGCCCCATATTAGGCTGTAAATGGAGCTTTCCCTAATTAAAGCCTCTCCGTTTAATTTACCTTTGTGAACTAAATTAGTCTGCCCTTGCTTTAGGCCAATCAAAGGGAATCCTGCTCTGGTAAATCTAAGCTTAATCACTGCCCTATTCACATGGTAATAGGTGAACATTGTAAGAGTGAGAATCGGATGGAACAGCTTCAAGTTTCGGTAATTATTTTTTATCTTTAATTACTGATTTAAAATTAATAACAATCAAAGCCACTGCTTTAGCACGTAAGTATATTTTTATATTATTCTTTTTCGTAATTCATTTTTAAACTGAGGATTTACCAGGTAATGTCAAACAAGGTGTTTTAGCTGGCTCTGATGTGAGCTAAGGCCACAGGTGAGCGATGGCTTCCAGTTGTCTTACCTGTTCATCTGTATGAAAAATGTGGACTATTTTATCTTCATTAGGGTTTTTTTGTTTATAACACCGAGAGATTTCTAGTTGTGAAAAGGAAGTTTAATTTCTGCAAAGTCTGGTGTGAGAAATGATACCTTCAGCACGTCTGGTGCAGGGACTTAAGTTAAAAAACAGGAATAAAGACCCACTAAAACCTTATTTGTTACTTACGAGCAGATGCCATTCTGCAAGGGGAGCAAACAAGGTTACGGAGAAATGGAAGATAATATTTGTGTAGTATTTTTCTCATTAATAATTGATTTTTCTCTAAGACTAAAGCTTAAAAATTCAGTACCAAAGGTTCAAATGCCAGCCCTGAGATGCCCAGGTGAGATATTTTAAAGATTTCTCTGCTTTTGGACCCCTGGCACATGGCGCAGACAGCACCTGCTTCAAATATTGGTTTAAAATGCAATCAGTGTGGTAAATAGCCACACGGACAGGCAGTAGCCCCAGCTGTGGCTTAAAGAAGAGACCTGAACACGGGCAGGTTTTCCTGTTGTTCTGCAATTTTCTGTTTGAAGCATTTTGAAATGCAATTACAAAATAACCTGCAGAGAAGTGGGAATTATTCAAAACCCTTCTCCTGAGCAATTTTTCCATGTAATTTTTGAGTAGTCTCTCAGTTTTGCCAGCCCCTCTAAGTAAATTGCATGCCCACATTGGTCTGAGCAGTAATAACAGTCGCAATAACAACTTTATGGCCCTGGACGGTGCTCATTAGTGCTCTATTTTATTCCTAGGATGTATCACAGCAGGGCCCACGGCAGGCTGAGGACAGGAGCAATGCAGAACCTTTAAAGCAGACCCAAAAATCCCTCACACAAGGTTTGTTCGCAGGACAGTTTGCAAGGCTTGTTTCCATATAGGAGATCCCCTTTGCCATGTCCCCAAACAACCTGAGCTGGACTTGCCATTAATAACATCCTTGGATATTATTTAGTATCTTGGTGACCAGATTCATCTTGAAATTTTCTTAAGGTTTATTTGGAAAACAGCCATCTGCTCTTTGTCATTTGTCCTTCTCCAGTTCAGCGTTTACCTTCATATAAAATACTTCACGTGCCCAGGTGCCCAAGCAGACTTTGACCGATCGGCATCGTGAGCAAACTGTACTTTGATCTGTTGTTGTTCAAGCTGTTAAAGCAACGCTTCAGCCCCCAGGCAAGCAGAGGGGTTATGGGAGGAAGGTTGCCTTCAACACACCACTATGGTATCTGCTCACTCCTTTGCTCCTGGAGGCTTTGACTTTCCCTTCTCCAGGAACACACCCATCACCAAATGGATAAGAACTCATTTATCTCATTAAAAGCTTTTGCACCCAGTTCCTTCAACTAAAATAAGACTGTAGAAAGGTTTCAGTGGGACTCCTGTGTTTAGGCTGCTCTGAGGAACAGGTACCACCTCTCATAAGGTCTTCATCCAGACCGAAACACGGTGCACCGGGCTGAGAGCTCACCCTTGGAGGTGCTGGTTTTACCACTCTGTGGGTGATGAATGCAGTCTTTTCTGTGACAACCCCACTATTGCATCCATATTTCATAAAATCGTGTGTCTGGGGGGATATTTTGGTTACTACAACCGTGCCAGGCACATGCAGCCTGGGTCCTATGAGTCTCTTGGAGGAGTCTCTCTCAAAGAGGACGGGAAGAGTAAGTGAGTATTTAGACAGTAGGAAAACTCCTGTTTGAAGCAAGCCCATGTAGACAAACGTATTTAAACACCTGACTCCTTAACCAGTGTTTCAACCCCATGGTTTTTGATAGGAATTAGGAAAATTATACTTTTGCATCATCCATAGCATTGCTGTGCTGTGAGGAGAATCAGCCGGTGCTGTGATACCCTCTCCTGCAGAGATGGGTTTTACCCCAAACACTTAAAATGGTAACAGCTCCAAATGGGGTTATGGAAGCGTGCCTCAGTTTACCTGATGTGCAGACCACACTTCAGTGAACTTCTCGTCTTTCTTTTTGAGTTTTCAGGACATTTGGAAGGAGTTTCCTCCAGGAGGGACTGTGGCCGCTCCTGTTCATCCGTGCTGCCAGGATGAAGGGTTTATCAGCATCCCAGGGAAAAAGATGTGGTCCCCGACAATCACGGGGCTGGAATCAGCTCTGATTTAACTGGAGCTCTTCTTGCTGTGTAAACATTTTCCAAAACCCATTAGGAGTCTTAGAGGAAACAGCACAAGCCAGCCTGGAGCCAGCAGGAGCTCAGCGTTAGCCGCGTGTTGTGGCAACACAGTGTCTAGACCAGGAGTTACCACCCAAATTTGTCATTTCTTGTTTGTTAAGGAGAGAAATTGGAAAGTGGGACAACGGGATGGGTTTTTGGTTTGTTTCTTTTCCAAAACAGCTCATTTGAACTGCGTTCACAGACTG